GGAGGAACCCCTTTGTAAGTTGGCTTTCTGCAAGCTGAACAGTCCGGCTGAAGTCGAGCTCAGTAAGCTGCACCAGCGTTGTCTCCGTGGCGGCCCCGGCCAGTGCAAGTGCTCTCTCGAGGCTGTGCTCCCTTCCCAAAGCCCCAACTCCACGCCAGACGTCCCTTCTACCCTCAGATCAGCAGGGCAGGAGAGCTGTGGGACCAGCCACCACTCCCTTAGACTTTTACGTACTTATTTGTTTTATAGCAGCAAGCCAAAGTCAATACAAGTTACTAGTTAACCACCCGGCGGGGCGCCGCTCTCCTCCCAGGTGTCTGTCGCTTGTCTCGAGTGCAGGAACCAGAGGCACCTTCCCTGGACACACAGCCACACAGCTCCCTGCAGACCTCCCTGAAGGAGTCTCCTCTCCCCGCCCCTCTCCAGGAAGCCCCTTCCTGCCAGGGGCTCGGGGTAGGCACTGCCCAGGGCCCCAGGGGGACACAGTGGCCGCCACCAAGGACCCCACTGCTTAGCAGCAGTCCTGCCCTTCCCCATCCCGTTTCACCAAGGCACAAACCAACAGTCCTCGTCTCCAGTCGTGTATCTGATCGCTTTCTGTCTTTTGCCAGTTGCACCAGAATCCTCTCCTCTCAGACTTTGGACTGGACAATGACAGAAAGCCAACGAGCAGCGGGGGCTGAGGTGACAGTTTCCCTGTGCTCGGTGCCTCTGACCCCAGCAGCTTTCATACAGAAAGGACACTGAAGCCCAGCCCAGAAGCCAACTAGTTCGGTCCAGCCAAGCCCCAGGGCAGGGTGGCTGTTCTGTCCAGCACCTGGCATCTGATACCTTCCACTGTTCCACCCAATCCCACACCCTCAGAGCTGAACTCTGAGAAAGCAGACCCAATGACGACGGAGCGGGTGACGGGAGGGAAGGGGATGTCCTCAAGACAGTAAGTTTCTGAACTGTCTCCCTGCCAGTCCTACAATGTACTGCATTATTTGCGAACAGTAAAAGATCAAAAAGGAATCAAGTTTTTGACTTTGCTATTGAAACTAGAAACCAGGGTCTTATGTACTGCACAGATTTTAGTCTAGGTTTATCATTTCAACCCACAGCTTAAGTTAAAAAACCTGGGTTACATAGCCCCTGGGTTAGACCACCACAATTTGAGTCTGCCCACAACCCCCCCCTCAATTCTCTGTTCGTATTCTCCCCATCTGGTCTTATTAAATACTTCACACTCTCCAAATATAGCCATTTTTATAGCTCTGATTATTTTTTCTAAAGCATGACTCTCCACCTGGCGAGAGGGATGCTTCTGGCAAAGGAAAAGTCACGGTAAGAAAACTCTACTTCAATGAAAGATAAAGCCCAGACCAGCCCCGGCCAGGGCGGCGGCAGCAACAGGTGTCGGACGCTGCTCTGTGCCTGAGTCACCACTCAAGCATGGGAACCAGGGCACAGGCCCCGGAATGACACAGCCCAGGTGTCAAAGTCCCTTCCCTCACCTGGGGTCCCCTAGATGGCCTTCTGTAAAACTGGGGCTATTAACAAACCCTACCTTGTATACTATCGTAGGGAACCAATGAGGTTAATGTACATAAGGCACAAAGCACTGGCTGCCACACATAAGCGCTCAGAAAATGCCAGTTATTCGTGGCAGTCTAGCAATCACAAAAACACAATGGTCTCGTGTCCTTAAGTCCTCTCAGGTTTCAAAAAAAAAGAGGGTTTTCTTCTTTGCCTACAGAAGTTTCAGTGAAATGTGATATAAAAAAAGAAACCCCACTTCAAAACTCCAGTTCAGGCACCAACTCCCTGGTAACCTACAGCAAACCCTTTCACCTCTATGTCTTCATCTATAATGTGGGAACTTTGAACTAATTATTGAACTTTGATGACTTCAGAGACAAGAATCCATGCGATCGCTAGTAGCTGGTGAGGTTTTCACTCCTTCAAAGAGAAAGCAGTCAGTCTTGAGCATAATTAAAATTAGCATTATTACTAAAATGTCGCACCCAGTACTGGAGAACATAAATAATGTGATGTTTCTTACTCTCCAAGAACATTAGGTCTGCGAGGCGGAATCGGTTCACGTGGCGCGGGCGGCCGCGGAGCCGAGCCGGGAGGCGGAGCCCGACCCACGAGAGGCGGAGCCAGACCCACGAGAGGCGGAGCCAGACCCACGGGAGGCGGAGCC